GACCCATGGAAGCATCTCCCTGCACCCCACCTGAGGTCTGAAGGAGTATATAGTCACCTGGAGGAGGCAGGATCTCGGAGGCGTGGGCCAAAAGGGGTGTTTAATCAACGATTGAGTGAATGAATGAATGGAAAACGACTGTGTCACTGTATCAACACTCAGCGAATGGATGGATGAACGAATGGCTGGCTCCCAGGAGGTGCCAGAGCACGCTCTAAGATGAGACTAAAGCAGCACGGTTTCTTGGTCTCCAATTTTTCTGAGATGTTAAGGAAGCTGTATACCTCCCAGTCCCACCACTCCCAGAACACCGAGCCCAGCTAAAGCAGTTCTCCCTTCTAGCTCTGACCTAGGGACTGTAAGTGGCTCCTGGGGGGAGAGTTGCTGTCTCTCTCCCATTCACAGATGTGTGGACGTGGGGTCCCTGTGAATGGGAGAGAGACAGCAACTCTCGCGCCCCAAAATCGCAGGGATGACAAAACCTAGAGGGGAATGTGGGAGCCCAGAAGCCTGACCCAGGCCAAGAGTCAAGGAGAAAGCAAAGCGGTCCAGGAGAGTGGAGCGGTCCAGCTAGGGGGCGGGGTACGGCGGCAGTCTGGAAGCTGTGGGCTGCAAGAGGAGCCGCTCACCGCAGGAGCTCTTTTCAAGGGGAAAAAAATGGATTTTTCAGCAGCCACAAAGTTTGTATTGTTGCACAAAGGGCTGCATTGATGACGGCGAAAGGTCTGCGTGGCAAGGACAATCTTGGGTCTGTTCCGCCTGCTCCCTCCGCCGACCACTTGCCAGAGGGGCACAAACAGTTCCCGGCTGCCAAGCCCCCGCCGTGATCCATCAGGTACTCGGCTCGGCTTGGGGGTTGTTGAGAAACACCGCGGGCCCAGGCGCCCAGACCCCAGGAACCAGGAGCTGAGCCAGGCTCTGATAGGCCAAGGGTGCCCATTTCGCCAGGGCCGCGATTTGAACTGCGATCTAAGCTTCTAGGGGCTCACAGAGAGTTCAAGCGGGTACCCGCAGTAGAGCGCTTTAGGCGGGGATGGAGCTGGAAAGAGCACGGGAAAGGGAGAGAGGGACTGAGGGTGACTCTTCAAGACACTAACACGCAGTAGTAGGTGAATAACGGCGGTAGCATTAAGAGCTACCTCTTAGATAGCCTTACCTTCGCCAGGCCCTGTTCTGAGCATTGTACCAGTCCTAACGTTTAATATAAATTAGCTTCCTACGAAGTAATCCTTAATTGCAGATGAGAAACTGAGGCATCGAGAGGTTAATGGAACAGAGCTTGTCAGCGGCAGAGCCAAGACAGAAATAATGAGGGCAAAGTTGTACTGACTGCCAGGCAAGTTCTAAACACTCACTTCATCTTTACAACAGCCCTTTGAGATAGGTCCTACGATAACGCCATGGTACAGATGAAGTCACTGAGGCACAGAGACGTTAAGGAACTTTTTGCAGGCCACAGAGCTGGTAAGTGCAGAGCTAGAATTCAAACCCACAGAGCCGGGCCCCCAACAGGAATGTTCAATCACACTATTCTGCTTGGGGAAGAAGGGGCCAGGAGACCCAGTGGAGTGACCCTGACCCGTACGTGCTGCGGTGCCAGCAGCGTGCGAGACACTTGTCTCTTCCAGCGCGCAGAGCACATCCTTGAAAGCTCTTCGCCCGCCCCAAGAGGACTTAGCAGGGTCCTCTCTTTCCCGCTTTTCGCGTCTCCCAGAGTCCTTACTCTGGCTCCCCCACCTTCCAGCCTGCGGATTCGGACCTTGCTGCGTTCTGGGGGAGCCCACCCCCCAGACGAAAGGAGGCTGCTAACCCCGGAGGGCTCACAGCTGCACGGCCCCGGAGGTGACAGCTGGCCGGCAGGTCCTGAAGCTGCGTTTCAAGGACACCGGTCTGTACTTGGAACGATTTGTTTGGGGCGGCTGGGAGGAGGGCGCTGATGCAGACTGGAGAAGCTGAACCCCACCGCACCCCCACTCCACCCTGCTCATCTCGGCGCCGCCACTGGGTGAGGGTCCGGACCCCTGGCTGGTCTCAGCCTCTTGTCAGCCTGCGCTCTCTGGTCAGCCTTGGGCTCCCCTGGGGTTTCCTCATGGACGCCGCGTGGTCTGGCCCCGGGGCGCCTCCGGCTCGGGGCGCAGAGACCCTCCCCCTCCCGGGCCCGCCCGCCCCGGGGCCCTCCCGCCTCCGCGGCCTCCCACGTAGCGTTTTGAACCGGCTCGGCGCTAAGGCAAGAAGGAGCGTGGGGAGCGGGCAGGGCGAGCAGAGGCTCTAAATCTTCCTTCAATCCGTGAGTAGATGAAGTCTGAGCAACAAATTCAAAGCAGGCGCGCCTGCAGAGCCTTCCTGCAGAAATATTCCCCGGCATTCAAGCGCATCCAGGGGCGGCTGGAGCTGCCTTGTTTGGCTAAGGTCAGACGAGACTCGAGTTCTCCAATAAAAATAAATCTCAAATTAATTATGGCCTCGAGCGAGAGGCCAGACACTTGAAGCTGCAGTTGTGCAGTCTGGAGCTTTGGCGCTCGCCCGCCCGCCCCGCC